ATGTTCAGTGAACCATATTTTTTTAAAAAACCAATAACTTAGCATGTGTGGATCCATACATACTGAAGGGGTGGGATGGAGAAAGGTGTTGCAGCACCTGTTTATATTACTAGCATTGTAGCACAAATTTCCTCAAGATTAAACCTCACTATTGGCCTCAGTTCTGGTAAAAGACTGTAGGAAAAGTAACGAATCATCTAAATTTGACAGCACCCACAGATTCAGAAAGAGAACATGGGGGAATATATAAACATTGCAATTCAGAGCTGTGAGGCTAGATGTTTCTGAGGGGAACTGGACTTTTCCATAAAGCAACTTTGCCTTCCGCCCAATCTGACCTCACAGTGGACCATCATATACCTCTCTGCTGTGTTCACAAGGGAGCCCTTAGCAACCATTGTCCCCGGTTCCCAATTCATTTCCTTGGCTCCATTGATTATCTGCAAAGAACAGAATGAAATTCATAAAACAAAAGAATGGAAGATTGCTTTCCCAAATAAATTCATTATAGTCTATGTCCCCTGAGATATGCAGCAGCTCCTTCTCTCAATATGCTCCCACTTCTGAGTGACTGTCAATCCTGGGGTTATCTGACTATATTGAGAGATAATCCGAAGAACCTTTGACCAGTGCAGAAAAAAAACAACTAGTGATTAGGAGGGCTGGAGAGCCGGCCACTGGGAAGCTGCTTTCTTTGGCCAAAAAGCTCGATTCAGTCTCAAATTTCTTGGTTCTGCTCTGCATTTAATTTTCAAATGGAAGTAGGCTTAAATGGTTAGACCAGAGGAAGAAAGAGGGACAGCCAGAAACTGAAGCATGCCGAAGTTGCGAAATCCCATCTCTTTATCTGGATACCGAAAAGCCATAATCAAATGAGAGACTTAATTACCTAAACGCTTGCTTGCTTGCTTGTGCATATTATTGAAAGATAAAGGCCCATTTGAGGCAAACGTAATTTGGATGACTGCACCCATGTAGTTTTCTTTATGGCGTTACAGAAATAAAGTCCATTATCCTTTTGTTTGGCTTCCCAATCCTGCCAACGGTTCAGGGATCCTGTCAGGGGTCTCCAACCCTCGGTCCATGGATGGCACCGGGCTGTGGCACGCCAGCATCTGGACCATGCAAACAAGTGAAGCCTCATCCACAGGATGCAGGCAGTACTCAAAACCACGTCCTCCAGTCCGTGGAAAAGCAGTTTCTCTACAGAACAGGTCCCTGGTGCCCAAAAGATTGGGGGCTGTTCTAAATGATTCAAGAAGAGATTAAGGCCAATCTTGCTTTCCAGAACTACCCAGCTTGGGTTGGTGCTGACATCTGCAGAGACAGCAACATGGCTCCTATTAAGACCTGGATCTTAAGACAAGAGACTGAAGACCTAATGATGCTTAAATACAACTTCTAGGATCCCTGTTGGTCCTGCTCAAAATTTTGGTTCAGCAACATCCCATGGGCCAGACATTCTTTATGACATGGATCTCCAAACTTGGTGACTTTAAGACTTGTGGACTTCAACTCCCAAAATTCCCCAGGCTGGCTGGGGAATTCTGGGAGATGAAGTCCACAAGTCTTAAAGTCGTCAAGTTTGAGGACCCCTGATTTATGAAAAGGCTTTTTGAAGGAGGCATTCTGCACATGAACACTTTTTAGGGTATGTGTGTTTTTCAGGATGAGAAAAAAATTATTTGACCAGGTCTTTCCAACCTTTTATTTGAAGTCCAAACCTATGACTCATCTCTTAGAACAGTTTAAGTGGTTTTGTTTTGTTCCACTAGTCGAATATTTCTGCACATTTTATAACCCATTATAATCTTTCTTATTAATAGTTGCATTTTATCCTTTGGCTGTTATTACAAGCTGTCCGGAGTACTGTTTGTTATTGGAAGGCATATAAATATTAATAGATGATAAATAAATAGATAATGAATACTAAATAAATAAATCATGGCATTTATTTGATTCTTAAATTGCACATCAGGCCCCAACAGCAACAGCTGTGACAGGTCATAGGCTAACCTTCTAGATTTGGTTAATTCTGCCAAAGCACAGGGAAGATGGGGCGAGCGTTCGATTGCCTCTCCTGGCTCACAAGGAGGATGGGGGGGGGGGGGGGAAAGGCAGCCAAAATTGGAGCACAGCTTTGTAACTTACAGCACAAAGGCTGCCCAGCACAGCAGGCCCAGATGTTCTCCTCTCAATCCAGTCTGAACATGTTTGTTGTCTACTTAATGGAGACAGCTGTTTTGTTTTTGTTTTTTTAACCAAACAAAAGAAGGAAATGCAAAATTGTAATCCCGGTTTTCAATGCAAGTGCAAAAAAAAAAAAAAAGCCAGCGCTGCTTACATTCTTTGTGCAATGCATGCCTTCAGCTCTGCACCAAGAAGAAACCAAGGCCACCGCCATGTGTTCCCAGATGCATCTGTGCCTTTTTCAGATGCTGCTGTGCAACGAGGCAACGAGATTCTTCTTCCCACCTACCCAAATGCTTCACTGGAACTTATCTGTGTATTTCTTTCACAGGCTCTGTGCTCTTGCAATTCTGTCTCCAGGCCCCTGTTTCTTTAAAGCTATTGATTTCGCTGGACCAAGACCAAGCCTATTGGTATGTTCACATTAATGACAGCTCTGTTGAGTAGCAGGGAAGAAAGTGCAGTTAATCAAGTGCTCTCAAGGCTCTTGAGCAGTGTTTTCCTTCTGCTAAATTGCTGACTCTTGCTGCATACATCTTCTATAGCAAAGGACACAGTCACCTCCTGCGTAGGAGGCTCTCCTCCTTCCCCCCCCCCCCCCACCAGTAAAACTGTCTTAGCCAGCTACCTGAAGGGCCAAAACAGCATTTTTCACTACTAGACAGAGAATTCAACAGGGACTAGCTGCTCTGTTTTTAGAAGTCTGTTGGCACATCAGGGGAGAGGAATCCTTTACAAGTGCTAGTACTACACAGTGTAATCAAGAAATGAGTTGCTGATCAAGGACTGACTTTCATGTCTGAATAAAAAGATATTGGCATTGCTAGCACGGGGGAAAAAGAGGGAGAGGGAGAGAGAGAATGCAGTCATAGAATGAAATCTCCTTATTGGCCCAATTAATATTGCTCCTTTGCTGGTTGCAAGCTGAATTTCTTCTTAGTGAAGGGGATTTTTGTGTCTGTCTATTTTTGTTTTTTTCTGGGAAGATTAAGGTACTAAGGTGGATCGAGATATGAGAGACACTTTTCTAGATTTCATTTGCAACTGACAGTGTGACCAGATCTCACTTAAAAGGTGTTATTCGTGCTAGAGCAAACACAACTCTCCCCCCCCCCTCCACTGAACGAGGACAAACATAAAGAATGCGTGGTGAAGAGAATCCGGAGTGGAAACTTGAGAGGACCTTCTCACGCCATAGATGTTACCTGGTGTATACTTTCCATGCAAAGCAACTGCTGTATGTGTCATGTGACAAGACAATTTGTATCTAGTACATTAAATCTAGAATAAATCCCGATCAGGAATACCAGAGCTGGCCTCAGCTCTACACAGCAAAGCCCTTGGAGGAAAGCCTACCCTTACAATGAACACGGCCAGACCTATAAAAACACGATCCTAGGACCGTCACTTATTTCTTAGACCTGCATCTCGCCACTTGCAAACACCACTTCACGAGACCTTGTGGACACGTTAAGTGCGGACTGGGCTTTGCTCGCTTCCCGACGGTGCGGATTTGGCTTTTGATTTTTGTTGGCGAAGTGAGGGGGGGGGGGGGGGGGGGCGGGGAGGGAAACTTTGGCTTTATTTCGGGGGGGGGGGGGGGGGGGGGAGGAATGGGGGGGAGGGGGGAGGGGGGGGGGGGGGGGGGGGGGGGGGGAAGAAAGGAAATGTTGGTGTGGAAAGAGTAAGGGGAGCCTCTGACAACCCGCGCGCCGCACACTCACGCAGCATCGCTGTCGCCGCCGACGTGCACACACACACACACACACAGCCACCCTGCAATCTCAGCCCGGCACTTCTACGGCTCCGAGCCTCTTTCCTCCTCCTCCTCCTCCCGCACAGGCGTGCGCGCACACACAGGGATACACACCCACACACACACACACACACACACACACATATGCGCCTCCGCCGCCGCCACCATCACCACCCGGCGCTCTCTCGCAAGACTCCGGGGTAGCGCAGCCGGGCCCTGCCGCCCTCGTCTCGGACGCAGTGCCTCCCCGCAGACCCTGCTGCCTCGCCGGCAGGCGCGATCGTCTCCCGCCGCCCGCTCACCCCCTCCCCCCCCCGCCCCAAAGCAACGGCCCCTCTCGCCACGCCACCGAGGAGCCTCCATGTGTTTGGAGGAGAGGCAGCCGCCTCCGCCGCCGCCGCTGGTCGCTGAGCCTCTCCGCAGGCTGCTTTCCGGCGACCGCCGCTTCTCTTGGATTCCCGAGCGCGAAGGCGAGGCCAGAAGCAGCAACAGCAGCAGCAGCAGCGGCGGGCAAAGGATTCCCGCCGCCACCCCCCGCCCTCCAGCGGCAAGTGCCGCCTCAGCCGGCCAGCCTCCGAGCTCGCTTCTCCAGCCGCGTCTTCGCGCCTGCCTGCCGCCTTGCCTTGCCCGGCAACCCCAAACCGCTGAGGCGGCAAACCGCCGCTGCTGCCGCCGCCGCCGCCGCTGAACACTGACGGACGGACGGCCGCTGCCGCCGCTGGCCTTGCTTTCAGGTTTGGCTTGCTGGGTATGTTGGGGGTGGGGGAGAAGAAGGGGGAGGATCCCTCCGGCCCGGGTTAAAAGTGCAGCGGAGGATGGAGGCTGGCTGGAAGAGGGCAGGGAGGAGAGGAGAACGCCTGGGAGCAAATCTCCTGCAGACAATAGCTGGGAATGGGAAGGGAAGGGGCGCTGGGTTTAGATCTTTCCCAATTGGGGATAACGGCCAGGCTGGCCAGAGACTCATCCTGAGCGCTTGTCTCCTTTCCATCTAGTGCGGCTTCTACCCCCGTCCCTCCCCCACCCCACCCTTCGCCCTGCTCCAGCTCTGACCATGATGGACCTGAAGGTGGACGAGGAGGAGGTGGAAAACGGGCAGCCGGTCAGCATCGAGGCATTTGCCAGCAGTTCCACGCTGCACGGCCTGTCCCACATCTTCTCCTACGAGCGCCTGTCAGTCAAGCGCATCTTCTGGACCCTGTGTTTCCTGGGCTCCTTCGCCGTGCTGGTCTTTGTCTGCAATGAGAGGATCCAGTACTACTTTCTCTACCCTCACGTCACCAAGCTGGACGAGGTGGCTACCACCCACATGACCTTCCCAGCCATCACCTTCTGCAACCTCAACGAGTTTCGCTTCAGCCAGGTGACCAAGAATGATCTGTACCATGCTGGGGAGCTCCTCGCCCTGCTCAATAACAGGTGGGTCAAAGGATGGGGAGGGAGAAACCACCATCCCAGCCTACCCACCCCCATGACCTGCGAGTGTGCAAAGCCAGAGGTCCCGAAGCATCTCTGGGATGGTGTGCAACAGTTGGCGCACTTGTGGCGATGGTGTGTGTGTGTGTGTGTTGGGACGTATTTGAACTGGGCACTGAAGTGTGCAACGTGTATATTTTCATAGTGTGATCTGACACACATTTGAGAGTGCTTCTGCGTGACAAGCTATTTAGCACTGGCAGAACGGCATACAGTTTCCGTATTGTTGTCAAGAAAACGGCATGGCTTGTGTCTATAAAGTCCGCAGGAGTAGAATCCAAAAGTTGAGGGAGATTTGACTTTATATATTTGGTCTGGATCTCATCAGGCTTTGGAGGTGGTTTGTGTCTGTCAGCTGACCTTTTCCCAGGTTATCTGCCCCTTTGATTCCCCACCGTCACACTCCTGTAAGGTAGGAAGGACTGAAATCGTGTCTGCTTCAAGTCACCCCAGTGAGTTCCTATGCCTGAACATTGCCAGCTCTTCTTCAAGACAGTCAGGTGGCTCCGTGTACTTGACTCCTTTCAGATGCAATGCATATCACCGTAAAAGCTGTCTGCCACCTGCTTGTGGCGAACAGTCCCCTATGGCCCCCACGGAGCCTGCCTTGATCCCGTGTTCCCTATTTTACTCTGTTCATGCACTTTAAGGGTGATGTGCTCCCATGCTGTGGATTGAACCACGAGTATTTATTGTAGAGCTGAATGTATTCTTGACACAAGGCGGCTAATGTTGTCTGCTGCTTGAACTCCCCTGTTTTCAGACTCCTGGAGCTGAGATCTGTAGCCAGTCACGAATCAGCCTGAGAGGGGAAATCAGAGTTTGGGTGTCCTGGATATCAGCTGCAGAGGAGCAACAGCGGGGGGGGGGGGGAAACCCCTTCTGAGTGGAAACTGAGCCCTTGGAAGCTGAGGCTGCCGACTGCTGTGTTTTCTAAGGGTTACAAAAAACAGCTCCCAAGTCAGGATTCCAAGAAGCCCCCTTAAAAAAAAAAAAAAACCACCCCAATTTCATCTTTCTCATCTCAGCATTTTACTGCCCTCTACTGGAGAGAATTGCAACTCCCCAGCACATAAAGTAACATCTCCTTTGAACTGAGCTTGACTCCTATGAATTAACATATCTGCGTTGTTTTCTTGGCAACCACACAAAAGTGGTTGGCTGGTGTTTTCATCCAGGATTTGTTTTGACTTCCCAGTCTATAGTCTTGGGATTACCGGGCAGTCTCCCATCTAGGACTAACCAGGTTCTTAGTAAATACCTGAAACCAGGTATTGGTCAATTTGATTAGGCCAGCCTCAGCCAGGTGCTTCCTTGTAACTTGGTTCAATTGTATTCCTAAACACAGAAGGAGAGGGTGAGATTTTCTGTCAATTAGTTTTTATAGATTTTAACTCAGGATGGTATGAAATTTAAATGGAGGGAGGAGAAGAGCTAGTACTTTGATCCTCATGTTGCAAAGCTTGCTACTGGGATGGGATCTTTTTCAAGTGATGGGACTTCAAATAATGGAGGAATTTTCACAATTAAGAGGCTGGAGCAGAATGTTATTTTCTCAGTGCATCCAAATATCAGAATGATTTTTCTCCGTTCTCCGTTCTTTTTTCTATTGAAGTCCATGGTTCTTGGAATTGTATTTTATCTGAGTAATTTTATTGCTTGACAATAAAATTGACATTATTGCTTGACAAATATTTCGCTACTTGCCTGGAGCAACTGATCCCCATTGCCTGTCTTGCTACCTGCTCTCTACCCAAGTGGAGTAGACAAATATAACTATAGTACTGAATCATGGAAAAAAAGCAAATTTTACAAAATGTCCCCCCCACCCCCGTTCCTTTAAGAGCTGTTCTTTGGCCAAAATGCACTATTTCATAGGACATAACAAATCGTCCTTTATTTCAGCACATAACGCCCCCCGCAAAAAAAAAAAAGAACTAGTTGGACTGGACCAAAACAAAAAAAAATCAAGCCCTATTTCTAGTAACTGCCAGCCAGATGGTAGTGGAAAATTTAAAAATCTAAAAACAGACATTAAAAACAATTGGCCTTTCTTCCAGCCCTGCCTTTCCTAATGAGGTGTGGTGGTAGATTGCCGCTGACCAAGGAGGCTTTGTTTAGCTGTCAGGGCTCAGAGCTTGGGGTAAACAGCTCCTCCATGCTTTTGCCTCTACCTCTTTTTAAAACTGCCTAATTTAATGGTCGTTAATTTAGTCGGGATTGGTTTTGTAAGTTAACACGTGGCATTTTAATGAAAAACCTGCTGCCCTGAGCTAAGCCAGTGGTCCATCTAATCAATTGGGTTTCATGCCAATGAAGGGAGCCGGTTTGGTGTAATGTTTAAGGCACCAGCCTAGAAACCAGGAGACTGTGAGTTTTAGTGCCACCTTAAGCAGGAAAGCCAGCTGGGTGATTTGCGGCCTGTCATAACTCTGTCAGCTCAGCTCACCTCACAGGGTTGTTGTTGTTGTGGAGAAAATAGGAGGGGGAAGGAGTATTAGGTATGTTCTCTGCCTGGAGTTATTTATAAAGTAATAAAGGTGGGGTAAGAAAAATATAATAAGTAAATAAAAATAGAAATGGCCAAATCTGGGAACCATCAGCTAAGCATATTTCTGTCACTTTATTCTGAATCTCTCTTGTGGGGGTCGAATCCAAAATTTAGGGCAGACTTGGTAGCCTGTCTTTGCTCCTTGTAGGCAGTATGGCTTGGATTTCTTGCTACCTGCTTCCTAAAATAATATGTATGTGTATATGAATATATATTGTATTCTTTTCCACAACTGTAATTTGGGAAAAAGACAAGAAAGGTGGGTAGCATAGGCAGCTTGCATTTATGTAATTGTAGCAGTCCGACCCATGGCACTCATCTAATGTGGTTCTTTATATGTGCAAAATATGCCATCTGCTAATACATCAGGGGTTTTAAAAACTCTCGTAGACAATAACTGTATATGTGTTGGTTTTGGGTGGTGATATAGAAGCCTTATGGTTTCTTGTTCTTGGTTCTTATGACAGAAGGAGCCTTGCCCAAAGCCAAGAATGGGATGTCTGAGGAGCTTCAAAATTGACACTCCTGCACTTCCACACCACAAGATTAGTGATAAACTGTTCTCCTGTTCCCATTGTTCCACTACAGGGGAAAGATGGTTTTGGGATCTGGATTGTTGCATACAGTTTTGCATATTTATGGGAAACAAGCAACATATGCATAACCCTGGTAGATTTGCTTATCCCAAGAATCAAATTTATTGGTTTCTTGATGGGGAATATGTTTCCGATTTATCCTTTAATTTTGTCCAGCCGAGCAACATTTAGGGTTGGCCATAGGCTGCTCTGAAAAATTACAGAATTTTTCACATCCAAAAAATGTGCCAGCCAGATACTAATTCCTCTAAGTGCTGAGAAGCTAATGGGCTACTAGTTGACATTAGTCCCACAGCACTGGCCAGGTTTTCTCAGTCTGGGGCCATCCAAATATGACATCTTCCAGACTTCACCCGTCAGAGTTTAAATAAATCTTGAAATCATTAGATAGAAATGTCAATCAAGTAATACCAGTGAATCCATCCTATACAATTGAATGTTACAGGGCTCCTTGGAATGGTGTCATTCTGCCCATCTCTGGTCAGCCAGGGAAAGCCTCCATTCTTCTCCCTATGCCCAGCAACCTGTTCATTCCCTTCAGAAATCTGCTTAAATGCCTGCTCTTTTATTTATAACCCTTATTGATTCCTTTTTGCAAATAGAAAGTAATTTAGACATGCAGAAATCAACGTATCAAAGACACGATCAAAAGTGTTCCAGGGATCCTGCTCGCCTAAGTCATCCAAAAGCGAATAAAATGTCGTACTGGCAAGTGTTACTGGCCAGTGTTTTCTGGCCACTAAATAGCTGCAGCATCCCAATCTAACCCTCTTCATATAAACAGGATCTGTATGGGGGTCATTCAAAATGGTCTACCAATTCTGGGTTATCAAAAAAAGCCACTAAAAGAGGATATATGTAGCTCAGGGTTGAACTATGGAGTCCTTGATGTACTCTTGAGTTTGTTTGCTTGCTTGCTTGCAGGGCTTTCATTACCTAAGTAACGTCATAATTTTGGGGTTTGCACCCTGTTTATATGCAGTAGCTTGACCTGCCAGTGTGGTATGGTTTTCTCAAAAAGGACCGTAAGCTGCAGGCCATACTAGAAGTACTTATAGCCACCATTACACATTTGTGTATGTTGGAGATTTAGGGACAGACATTTTTCCAGGTTTCACCGGCGTACTTTGCAATTCTAATTGATTCTAATAGCCTGTTTTGTTGAACAGGTGCAGACAAACTGGGCAACATCCAAATTTTGCATTTGCAACCTGCACTGATTTGGCATATGCGTATATATTGGGTGGCTGGTACTCGAGAACTATTATAGAACAATAGAAGGCCCTGAATTGTCTTCTCGGCCACTAGAAAGCTTCTTCAGGGCTTTCACTGAACCTTTGCAATTTTTCCAAGCATTGACCATTCTTTTCTAGTCCTTATAGACAAGGAACTAGTTTTAAAACAAAGTGAGATTCTGGGAATTAAAGGTGTCTCAAGAATCACTATTCAAGTGCCAGAATTTTAGCATTTTGATGGCTGTCCTAGTAGGAGAACAGAGAGCATTCCTGTAAGGTAGGAAAGCAACTAGTGTAGCCACTGCCCTTTTGGCCTTTTGCAAGGGCATTAACCCAGGCTCTGCCAACTGACTTGGGGTCCTGATGGAAGTGCTCTGTGCTGGAGGTGGCTGGTGGACTCATAGGGAAGAGGCCACCCCTGTACCATTCTGGCTTGTGGCCTTTCTGGTTTTGGACCTACGTAATCTTGTTAAGTATAACATTTATTGTTTTAATTGTAAGCTTCCTGGAGTCCCATTGTAGACTGAGATGGGCAAGATATAAATTTAATAAATAAATAAACAAACCGCAAACTGTTGTGGTGGGAGTTGAGTTTGGAGACCTCAAAAGAAGGAACTAGGTGCCTTGAGCCTTGCAAAAGACACCCATTAAACAACACTCCCCCTCCCCCCCCCCCGATGCTTCACTGTATGCCTTCCCACCACCACCACATCTCATCTTGACTTCTGCCACATTTGGAACGTGGCTTTTGACACTGTTTAGTGCAGGCTTCAAGCCAGCTGAACTTCCACTTCTCTGCTCTAATAAAAGGCGTTGTTCGCTTTTGGCCTGGGATATTCACGCTTTTCTTCTCAGGTCTCATTCAGAGCTCATTCTCTCCTTTCAAAGGATGATCCTCATCCACCAAGCAAGCTAATGAAGAAGAGGCTGGGTTGAAACATTAAAGCTGGCACATCCTGTACCCCGGGGAGATAGGAAGTATTGAAAACCACTTCTTCGATTCCCCAAAGAGACATGACTTGACTGCTGTTAATGAAGCGGAGACAATGTGTATTGGTATTAAACATCCACAGGCTGTGAAGGGGGTAAATGCATACACAAATGTGTGCAAGGCTATGCCTAAACATTTTGACTGCCTCTTTCCAGAATATAAACTCAGTACACTTACACCGCTCACTGTTTCACATGCACTCCCTTCTTTATGACAAGAGTTGTCATAAAATCAAGGGAACAGCCGATATCTGCCTTTTTGGGGGGCGGGAGGTAGTGTGTAGCTGTCGTGCAGGAGAACGACATCTTGGTTGCTAATGTAAAATGTGTTATGCCTTTGGAGAATGGAAAAGCTGCCTCAGTGGCAAGTGGCTGTTTTTTTTTCCTCCTTTTTTTAGGAGTAATTATATAATCTGAAGATGCCTGGTTAGTCTTGCAAGGAGTGAAGAACAGTTGCTTATCTTCAGAGAAGGGCCTCAGTGTTAGGTTTTAATTACACTGTGCTTTCACTGCTGGAACTGAGAAGTCCCAGGTGTATCTCCAGCATCCATCTGACCATCCCACTTTATCTTACAGGTGCTTTTCCTGGGAACATCGGAGGCTTGGGTGCTTTCGCCGTGAACTGAACCAGCTCAACCGATATAACCCCTGTGACTATGTTCTGGTTTGTTTTTTTTTCCCTCTCAGGTATGAGATTCCAGACACCCAAATGGCTGATGAGAAACAGCTGCAGATCCTGCAGGAGAAGGCAAATTTCCGCAACTTCAAGCCCAAACCTTTTAACATGCGGGAGTTCTCGGACCGAGCTGGCCATGATATCCAGGAAATGCTGCTCTCCTGCTTGTTCCGTGGGGAACCATGTGGCCCCGCTGACTTCAAAGTGGTGAGTGCTTGGCTTCTTGTCTCTCTGAAGATGGTGAGGTAGGGAGCAAGCATTACTTTTGGATCATGATGTTGGGTATCCATAGAGAGAAGAACCTGTGTTGTGCACGGCGTTGGCGTCATTGTGGAGGAAAGAGGAAGCAGTCTGCTGTATTGACTTGTTGTGACAGTGAAGATAGGCCTATTTCTTTATTATTGCTTACATAAACTTATAGACTACTACAGCACATTGACTTGAAGTGTTTTACAAGAACAGGCAGAATTTAAAAAAACGTAGCGATTAAAAAAAGAAAAGAAAACAAGCAAACAAACAAACCTCAGCCCACATTATATAAAAGCTGTGATCAGACAAAATAAAATGGAACAAAAAAAAAACCCAAACAGAAAATAGAAGATCAGCCCAAATGCCTCTTGAAAAAGAGGCAAATGCCTCTTGAAAAAGAGGCAAATGCCTCTTGAAAAAGAGGCTGTCTTAATAGTCTATTGAAAACCCCAACAATTTGGGTATGAAATGGACCTCAAGGGATAAGCACAATTTGGGGCTATTCCCCAAAAAGAGGCCTATTGCTTGCTTTTGAGATGGAGATCCAATGCATCCTCTTTTGAGAAGACCTCACAAGATGGACGTTTTTCAGAGGAGATGGACCTCAAGGTAAGCAGGAGCTGTGCCTTTAAAAAGTGCTTTAAACTAGCTATTTGAATTTTGACCCAGAAACCTACTGGCAACCAGCGCAGTGACAATTGCACAGGTGTTAATGCTGTAGCAATAACACACCTCCATCAGTAGCAGCAGGACCGTTACAATCTGAATCATGTTCAAAAGCAACCTCATGTAGTGTGCATTACAGCAGTTTGATTGGAAGGCAACAAGAGCATGAGTCACTGTCAGAAGGACTTCCTCTTTGAAAAAGGACTGCAACCGTTGAAGTTGTGCAAAAGTTCCCATAGTCATGGTCTCCCTCTACTGTTCAAGCAGGAATCTTGATAACCTTCCCTTGCAGATCTGATCTTTTAAGGAGAGTGTGGTCCTTTTAGACCTAAACTAAGAACAGAAGGAAAGACTGTTTATCTACAAACAGCCCTTCCATCTTATTCTGATTCAGTTTGATTTTGTTGTTGTTGTTGCTGCTGTTCCATACAAACTAATTTGACTAATTTCCCCCTGTATGTTCCATTTAGTTCCTCACAACTTTTAGGAACAAACCAAGGACTTCCTCTCTTATCTCCAAACTTGCCTGGGATAGTGGTATATATAATTGAATATAATCGGCGCATAAAGAGCAGCTCACTCCAACTGATCAATTTATGTAAACATTAAATGGCATCAAAGAGAGAACCGAACTCTATGGCAGCCACACATCAGAATATGTACAATGGAATCATAGGCCTGAAAGGGACCTTGGAGGTCTTCTAGTCCAACTCCCTGCTCAAGTTGACAGCAGGAGTCTTATACCATCCCCGCCAAATGGTTCTCCAGTCTATTTTTGAAAACCTCCACCGATGGAGATCCACAACTCCAGGAGACAAGCTATTCCATTTATGAATTGTTCTCACTGTTGGAATTTTTCCCCTTAATTCTAGGCTGTGTCTCTCTTTGACAAGCTTCCATCCATTCTTGCCCTGCCCTCTGGTGTTATAGAGAATAAGTCAATCACTTCTTCTTTGTGATAGCGTATTATAGTTTTAGAAGACAGTTATCATGTCCGTCCCCCCAGGCCTTCTCTTTGATTGGCTAGACATACTCAGGTTCCTCAACTGTTCATCGTGCAAGATAGCCCCCAGACCCTTTATCATCTTAATTGCTCTTCTCTGCACCCTTTCTAGGATCTCAACATCTTTTTTGTATCATGGTGTCCAGACCTGGATACAGTATTCCAAGTACAGACCAGTGCAGTGTAAAATGGTACTATCACTTCTCATTGTCTTGACACTATCCCTCTGTTGATGCAGCCTAGGATTGCATTGATATTTTGGGGGACGCTGCAATGGTGGTCCATTAGGACACCTAAATCCCTCTCATACTTACTATTGTTGAACCAAGCACCACCTGTTCTGCACCTGTGTGTTCTATTTTTCCTGCCTAAGTGCAGGACCTTACTTTTCTCACCACTGAGTTGCATCTTGTTGGATAGGGCCCATGCTCAAGTCTGTCAAGATCGTTCTGGATCTTGAGGCTATCTTCAAAAAGTATTAGCTATGTCCCTCAGCTGGGTGTTGTCTGCAAATTTGATGAGTTCAGCTATAAGTTCAACAAGCTCAACTATTCCTCCCTTCCAACTACCAATTGGAACTGCCCTTTTAGGAAGGGTCAGGATCACCAGAAAATGATGCCCTCAGCCTCACAAACGGTACAAAATACCACAGTCAATATTATTCAATGCCACCAAAATGCCCCATTGTACCAGATATGCACTCCCTTCATGTGGCTCCTGATGACAGTCATTCACTGGAATAACCCATGCCGAAATCTAAGGGATCTAAATAATTCATTTATCTAGGCTGTGTGACAGCTAAAGCCACACTATCTTCTTCAAAAATCTCCCCCCCCCCCATATGAAGATTAGAAAATGGGCAAAAGTTGTCAAAAATTGCTGTTTGAGAGATCCTCTGCTAGGAGGGACACACTACTGCCTCCATCAAGGCAAATAGTTGTACCCCTTCTACTAAAGAGGCATTTTTCCTTTCCAAAATGAAGTTTCTGGGTCCAATGCATGATGGTGGGTCTTAAGCTACCCTCTCCACTTGCTTAGACTGTGAGTTCAAAAGAATCCAGGATGATTTCTCAAGATATAACCTCACTAATCTTGCTGTACTGAAATCAAATGGCATCCAATATAAAATGAATATGAGCAACTTTATCAACAAGGACTTAAAAGCGTTATCACAGCAGCCTGCAAGAAAAACTTCCCACCTGCTCCTCAGCAGAAGGTTGTGGATAAGCTTGTAGAAGGCACTGGACAAGAATCTGTTCTTAACAACCCCATGTTTAGTTGCATTCACTCTTCATTCTCATAATATTGGTCTAGGCATCTCTTTTGACCCTTCAGCTTCTGGAGACCCTTGATTATCCAAGAAGCAGGATCAGTGACTATAGAGAGGCCACATGGGAGCAGTCTTGTCCAACACCTTTCCTATCTCTGAGTTCCAGAGTTCGAAAAAGCGTGCGACAGACCTTTCTGCCTGGTCCCTAGGAAAAATCTCCCATGCATCTTTAGAAAACCCATAGGGTCCATCAGGCCACCCTAATTTATTCCACACCATTGCAGAGATAGAACATAATCCACATATCGACCATATAACAACCTGACCTGATTATCTTGTCTTCCAACAACTAAACACATCTCATCTGTTCTAAGGTCAACACCAGAACTAACACATGACTGCCTGTGTCTGCCAGCCTAGAAGTCATCTGGAAGAAACTCATAGTTACCATGGAGGACGTGCCATGCTAGTCCTATGTAAATCCTACACTTAGAGCATTACCTGAAACCCTCCCATTTCTAATGGCTTTGGGACTCCAACACCAACCTGGCAATGAGATCTAATTGTTCAGGCAGGGTGGCTGCTGGGTAGCAGAATGATCAGTACATATCAGCAGCCATAGTTTGACTCTATGGCCCAACTTCAACTCTCAGGCATTCACACCTGGTTATCTATAAATACCTGGTTATCTATAAAAGTATATCTAATCACAATTAAGGTGTCACAAAATGCAGCCCCAACTCCCCCTGGCCTTGGAGTTGGGGCTGCTGAGCCAAACAGAGAAGGGTAAATCTTGCCATGGTTATATCCATGTCTGTGTCCAATTGTGCTTCCTTTCAATGATGCCTGGCAGGTCTGCACACTCATCTATCACCAGGTTTTGCATGAATGTGGTCTTACCACACAGAAACGTGACATTCAACAGCAATAGCCTGAGGCCACCTTCCAGACCCAGAAAGGAGGTGGATGGTTTAGAAGCAGGCACTTTCCACAAAATGAGTCTCCTTTCTCCTGGATGGGCAAGACCATTGCATCCAGCCATACCCCCACCAATAACCCATCGCTGTAGGAATTTGTTGCTCAACATCAGCATCTTCTGAGATTTCACAGATCCCTCCCAAACTGTCCCAAACTGTTTTCATATCCTACACTAACCTACTCCCATATCACATAACTCAGTGGGGCGACATATCACTCATGCTACCCTGTTTAGAATCATAATAAATGCAGGATGGGTTCCCTAATACCCAGCTGTGTGCTCCTTAACGTTTGCTTCCAATTTTGAGCCATTGTGGGTTCACTGCAGGGTGACAGCAGGACCATGCAGGATAATTAATTCAGTGCCTTCTGTCCAAGTTGATGACACCTACTCTAAGTTTAGTTAATATCATTTGACATAGTTAAATGATGAAATAATTACCCACCGATTTAATCAATTTAAACGATTGCTTTTAAAAAAAAAACCTGCTGTGGAAAATATATACAGGAATCAAAGACAATTATTTTGAATAACTAATATACTTTGAGAATCAAATATAACATGTCCAAAATGTGAGTTCCTATGAAGCAACAGTTGAAGACATTTTATACCCTGGAGATGAGTTTCCTACAGACATCTCAGTTCTGTGTGATGAAGAATGTTGGGAGAGAAAAAGTTTTAGACTGATTCAGTAGGACTCGTCTTAGGGCAACAACTGGGAACTTGGGCAACGGGTACTTTAACATTTTAGAGTGTTTTTGCGTTCAGTACACAGTGTGCCTTGGTATATGCTAATGCCTATATGTCTCTATTAAATGGGATTAATTCCAGGTCCAAACTTATTGATTAAAAGACTATGTAAATCCAGCATGTTATTATCTCTGATGGGTGGAGCTTGCAATTCCATGTTGTTGATGCTCTTCCCCTTCCTCTTCCCCTCTCTCTTCCCCTGTCTCCTTCTCGTTCCCATATATTTGCAAAGTGTGCTTTGTTTTGCACTGTGCTCAGCTAGTTCTTCCAGCAAAGCTATCAGTTGCATG